AAGTTCTGACTAAATCCTATAAACCGGACTGCTATTGGAACAGACTAATTATGTGTAGTGACTAATCTCAGTATACAGAAAAGCCCAGAAAACATCCGAATTTCCTTTTTTGAAATGAACTTTTGCCAAGTAATTGGCAACTTTGCTCCAATGTGTTGAGCAATTCATGTGAACAAATAACAAAATCGTNTTGAAATGAACTTTTGCCAAGTAATTGGCAACTTTGCTCCAATGTGTTGAGCAATTCATGTGAACAAATAACAAAATCGTTTAGCGGGAAACAGAAAATTCCGCTACTAGACTCAGTAGCCGACAGTCAGTAGCCAGTAGCCATACGTTATGCGAATTTTAGTATATGGTTGCCCATTGGCTCTCAGTGTCGCCATACACAATAAGACCATTAATATTTATACCAGAGGTGGGAAGCCTCGACAGAGCATTTTTGTAGTGTGCGTGCAATTGATGTCACTGTGTGCGTGCGAACAAGTCGTCCAGTTGAATGAAGCTTTCGCTGCTATTATGTAGTAGCCTATTTGCGTCAGGAGAGGCGGCATGCATCCCAAGCTAGCTCGTCGTCGGGGTGGGTGCCTGCCTCTCTGTCAACTACATAAACAAAAAAAATACATTCATGCCTGATAGTGCGTAAAGAGAAGATGGTCATAGTGGAGATAAAGAACAGACAACAGTGGAAACAAAGCAGAGACATTGTCCAGTCCCGTCCTGTCAGGTGGATTCAACCCTCCCTTCTTCTGCGTGAACTTCACGTGAAGCCTTCGGCGCTGTTGTGACTCCTCACCTTTCTTAACAACGTCCCCTAACCTGGCATAAGTCCGTCTGGCTATCAGTCAGTCATATCCAAGTCCTCCGTCATCGAGTGTCCACTCCCACTTCCCCTGCGTTGCACAAGCGCAACACCCACACGAAACTGTTGTGCTTAGCACTCCATACCTAATGATCCTCTGACATTAACAAATTCTTGAATTCAGCTTATCATTTTTTTTTCCAACTCTATTCACAATCTCAACGTATCTACTATTTTTAACACTATGAACTTTTCTTTTCTACCACCCTAATGCTAGCACAGATACATAAAATTCATTAAAAAATTCAGGGTTTTAATTTTATTCCTTCCTATTATTCTAAAGAAGTACTCCTATCTTTCCACTAATAACCTAATCCCAGAACAAAAGCAATGAATCGAACATAAATCAAGACTTAATTTTATACCTTATTTCCTGTTATTTCCGAAAATCTAATTTTTTTCCTTTTTTATACCACCCTAATACACATATCCTACTACTTAAAAGTATCTAAATACATATTCCCTAACAACGACTTCTAACCAATTCTTCCCATTCTTTTCTTTCTGTAAAAATAAATTCCGTAATGAGACCACTTTGACCTCACTTATAATTCAATATTACTACAACAAAAAAATATATACATATATCCAGCGGCCTAAATGTATATATATATATATATATATATGTGTACGTATATGTATATAGTATTATATTCAAAACAATTCATATACTCACCTTGACCTCCAGCGATGATGGTACCAGCATGCTGTCGAGAACCTGTGTGGAGAGTTGGAGAGCCTACCATATATCAGATGGCTATACATACAAGATGCTGAGGTCTGTACCTACTGCTCTACTGATTACAAAGGAAAATCACTCGTCGTGATACCGGGCGGCGAGCGAGTCGCAAAAATACCGCGGAAAACTAACGTGCGTAAAGTTTAATATTGAGTGGATGAGCTAGGTGAAAGCAAAATAATTGAAAAAAACGTGACTTAAAATTATGTCCACCAAATATAGCTTTATATATGCCTGGCTATAGCCTATATATATGTATTCATATGTACATATGTACCTAGTGAGATACCAAAATAAAATTTACGTAAAATTATATATCCGAGCTATTTGAAACCTATTTTTTAGCCCCAAATGAGTGAAAAAAGCAACAACAACAAAAATCATATAAAATTTAAGTAATGTACCCGCATATAAATATGTACATAAAAGCTTGGAGTGACAAACCAAGGAAATAACCGGGAGGAATGCAATAAAAGTGGTCTAAAGAGAGGTACGTAAATGCACTGAACTCGCTACCTACGTATGTATGTATGTACATAGGCATGCGCACACCTGTGGAACTTTTATAATAGCCTTAAAGAAATAAAGAGCTGAGCGAACTAGGATCTAAATTAGAGAAAATATCCCAAAGATTATCTCGGCGCAGCTGCGGATCTGCAGCGTAGGCGCTGTGCTGGTCTCTTACGCTCCTGCTATGTATGCTGTCCAGTGTTGCCGTTTTAGACCTTTGGTGGCTTGATTTAGCTACCACATACTTTTTTGGCCACATAAATTTAAAATTGCCCCCAGCCCTTTTTTTAGCCCTTTGGAGAATTTATTCATACTTGGCCTGAAAAAGTTGTATATGCTTAATTTGATCTAATTTTTTTCATATATGTAAGAGATGAATTTTTAAACTAAGAGAGACTGACATATATCGTTACCTTAATATAGAAAGGCCCTAACTCATTTAGTCGCTGAAATACAAAAAGCCGTAACTAAGTAAAAATCCAAAACTCCTTTTTTGATTGTTTATGATGCATTTCATCGAATTATTAGTCTCCACATCATTTTAAGTAATACAAAATTTTAGTCAGTTACGGCCTTTTTGCGTTTCAGCGACTGTATGAGTTATGGCCTTTCTATATTAACGTAACGATACACATGTTTGTATTCCCTGCCAGCCACTGCTCACCACTTTCCCCTAAAATTCAAACGATTTACAAACACATTCACAACTTTTTAGTCATCTCACCCACACACAAATTTTTTGTTCGAACTGTCAAAAAAATGTCCCTTTGTTAGAGCTACATACCCGATAAGAATTCGTACTCTAATAAGAATTCTATGCATTAGAGCGAGCAAGTTAGAAACATCGGAGTTTTGATGACAGTATGCATACTGTGAAGAAATGTCACTTTGCGAAAATTTTGAAGGTAAGAATACGTATTTAACAATTTTATTTAATTATAATGTAATTTCTTCTTTTAGATTGCAAAACAGTAGCGACTTAGTCACATTCTTAAGGTATGTATTGAGACTTTTTATATGTTTATAAATTTTAATTGATATTTTTGTTTGTTACAGATTTGGGATTCACCATCAGCACCTTCAACGCTTGCATCTTCATCGCCAGGAGCACCATTAGAACCTTCTGCCCTCAGCTTCTTCATCGCCAGGATCACCACCAGTACCTTCTACCCTCAGCTCCTTCATCGCCAGGAGCACCATGGGTACCTTCCGCCCATCACTTTTACTTCGATAGTGTCATAAAAAAAATAAAATTAAATACAAGTATTGAGTTAAGTATGCAGAAATTACCGCTATCTCTTCTTCTATGTTGCATACAAATTTCATAGCTGTATAGATTAATTTTTACTGTCGGAGTATATGTAAATTGAAAACTTTAAAGCCGTTTTTCTCCAGTTTTGCTTTTTTGAGTTATGACTATTGCAGTAAATGAAAGATATGTAGTTGCGTTAAAAGTATTTTATTTAAAAATATGCATTCCACTTGTAAATTTTTTTAAATTTTGATTTATCTGACCGTATATTGCCAACTCAACTCCCCGCATTCTGAAGTAAAATAGTTCATATATTCAGCCCGAATTTCGTTTGTTGTGTTTAATGTGCGGGTGTGATGCCATTGCAATGGAATAAGCGGATTTTCTTGTCGCCACTGCCCTTGTATTAAATTACCATCGTCTTCCGTATCGACAATTTGCGATACGTATTCTTTTGTTTTTTTAATACCAAAGTTATGAAGTACACATACAGCGGACACTATTGTGTTCATATTTTCGGGTTTATGTTCAAGCGTTTTTCTTAAAACTCTCCAGCGAGAGGATGCAATACCGAATGCGTTTTCCACCACTCGGCGAGCGCGAGATATTCTGTAATTATATACCCTCTCCAGGGGTGATAGATTTCTCGCTGAAATTGGTTTTATTATGCGCCTTGATGAAGCAAAGGCATCGTCCGCTACAATACTAAATGGCATTGGTGTAGTGGCACCTGGCAAAGGTCTATCAGGTGGCAAATTAATTTCGTTATTTTCCAGGGCTATACTTAATGCACGAGTCGAGAAAATCCCGCCGTCAGATCCGGATCCCTTTGCACCAACATTTATGTACGTAAAATTATAGTTTGCATCCACTAATGCCATCAGAACAATGCTATACGTCCCTTTGTAGTTGAAATATGAGCTACCTGAATTTTTAGGCGCCTTGCACACTACATGCTTTCCATCCAGAGCTCCAACGCAGTTTGGAAAATTCCATTGTTTTTCAAATTCCACCGCAATTTTGAGCCATTCTGATGGTGTCTACAATCAAAAAAAAAATATATATTTATTTTTAGAAAAGAAGTTTTTATTTCACCTATAACCAAAATTTAACTTTTTTCAGATCAATAATGAAAATATAGAAGTTGAAGACATGGAAAATAGACCAGCCGTTGCCAATGTGGAAGCGCCAGCGGTTTCGCCGGATATTATGTCAATATCTCCGCCGCAACCGTCGCCATCAACGCCTTCACCAGCCATTCCCTCAACATCACGGGCAGCAAAGCGTAGAAGAGAGCGCGAAGACTTCTCATCTGCTCTGGGCCCTTTATTTTCTGAATTGAGTAAAACTTCAGAGGAATTGAAAGAAAAAGGGCCCAACGAAAAATTTGGAGACTTCGTTGCCAGCAGTCTTAACAATTTATCAAGCGAGGAGGTCATTGTAAG